GAGAGGAGGGAGAAGAGGCCTTTTATCTGGTGGTAGGCCGGCGGCCTGATGACAGCCGGCAGGCCAGACGGATGCCAGCTAACTGCATACCACGACCCTTCCTTCCTACTTTCTTAAGTAGGTCCGTGAGCCGTCTGTCAGTGTCACCTGCCTTCTTTCCTTCCTTCTTCCCTTCGTGGGCCGGCCCGCCGGAGGAGGAGGACAATGGAGGGAGGACGGACGATCCACAGGATCTCCTTGGGACTAATTTATCATTTATCTTTCTTTTTTCATTTAATAATTCCCTATTCTCCCACTCACAAAACAGGAAAAAAATCAAAAAAAAATCACTTACGGTTTGCCGGCCCCTTTGCTCCCGGTAGGGAGGGAGGAGGGAGGGAGGGGAGGAGGGGAGGGGAGGGAAGGGGTGGAGGGAGGGAGGGAGGAGGGAGGAGGGAGGAGGGAGGAGGGAGGAGGGAGGAGGGAGGAGGGAGGAGGGGTATCCCACAGGAGGGAAGGTGGTTTGACTACAACAGCAAGGTGAGGATCCTGTAGCAACTTGAGGTCAATCGTTGAGCTCTCAACTACTTGGGTCACCTCGATGAGAACTTTCAGCTTTGCTTCCGTGCAGCCGGAGAGATGAGCTTTGAGGGCCGAGGCATCCTTTGCTTGCTTGGGGGGCTTGTAAACAAACATCAGCTGCTCTCCTGCTCCAACACAGTCCTTGCATATCAGAGCTGAGCCGGACTTCTGCAGAGCGTCCGGCCGAATTGAAAGATCGTTCGTGCTTGAGCACTGCTCCTCGTCTCGCGGAGAGGTACCTGCTCCTTCCACGCGGAACACTCTCGGGTCTCCACCGCGACGAGCAGCTCGCTTTGCTGACGTGAAGGTGGGGAATTTGTCGGGGAAGCACAGATGCAGCGCTGCAGCCACAGGGAGCCTGCCCTCCTCGTTCTTCTTCTCCTTGAACCCCTCCGGAGGAGAAGGCAGAGGGTCAGGGAGGGTCACCATCTCAATTCTCTCTTCAACTTTCTGCTTCTTTCCAGAAGTTTCCCGTGCATGTGGCTGGCTTTCCTGCGGCGATGCCTGTTTGCGCTTCGCGCGTAGCACTCCGATCTCCTTGTAGATCTCAAACCATGAGGATGAGCGCTGAATGTCTTGAGGGGCTGGTCGACGACCATGTACGTCATAAAACTGTTTCACACGCATAGACATCTGTGCTTTCAACTCGCGCTCTCGCTCGAGGTCTCCTTGAGAAACAGTCGCGCTCGCGTCGTTGTGCTCTCCATGAGCGTGCGACATCTCTGCCTCTACCCGGTTGATGACTGAAGCTGCTTGCTAGAGGGCTGAGGAGATGATGACTGAAGCTGCTTGCTAGAGGGCTGAGGAGATGATGACTGAAGCTGCTTGCTAGAGGGCTGAGGAGATGATGACTGAAGCTGCTTGCTAGAGGGCTGAGGAGATGATGACTGAAGCTGCTTGCTAGAGGGCTGAGGAGATGATGACTGAAGCTGCTTGCTAGAGGGCTGACGAGATCGTGACCATGCAGAGGCCTGTCCTTTGCTCTTTGCTTTGGTATTGGCCCCCGATCACCCTCGGCGATCCGGGCCGAGCCTCAGTTACCCGGCCCCGGCGTCAAGGTGCCACTACTGAATTTTAACTTAACATTGAGTAAAGAGTTTTAGAGTACTACGGCCGTAGTACTCGCGGCCGCGCACGCGGCACTGACTGCGGCTTTCGCCGCCTTCCAACGAGTCACTGCCCGGTTCGGGCCCAGATGCTAACCGACAAACGTGCTCGCACTCGTACGACATGCTGAGTTGAATTGCCTGTGCAATTTAATGTCTGAATTCTTTACAACTTAAGCGAGTGTTCGTTTCAGTACAGGGAGATTGTAGAGGCCGGGCTGATTCCTGAAAGTATGCGATCCCATCAATATTCTTGAACTAAAAACAATCAGGATTCAAGGAACACATCTCCCATGAACCCATGATCTTCGTCATCCATGTCGCAAGAGTCAAAAGCCAGCGAATGGAAACAGCCCTCGTCTTCGCCCCCGTCTGCATGATACTCGTGAAAGAAATGATGATCTCCAGATGGAGGCAACGATTGTCCCGTATGAAATTCTCCCTGCGCTGTCGGCAGCTGTCCATCGTACTGCATTTCACCATTAGTCTCGCACTTCACTTGAGCATGCCCTGAGATGGTGCAGGGGTCATCATTTGAGCCGGCACATCCTGCAAGCATTGCAATGATTTCATCGTCGGACATGGTCTTGCCTTCAGCGCTTACGATATTCTTCATCTCAACGGAAGAAGAAGCCACTGCATCAGCTGCTGAAGAAGGTTTTGTTGTTCTCTTAGATTCAATGCTCGTCTCATTTGACAAGGTGTCCAACTGATCGCATTGAAGGGTGAATCGAATATGCTTCCCGCTTCCAATCTGCTGCAGCATCTGTGGGGAAAGAGACAAGGAGATCTTGACATTGTCTTTGCTTTCTTGTCCAATCTTCTCCACGTCAATCTGAGGGAAACCACGGATCTGGAAGGTAGCTTCGGGCTCGGGAGAGTTCGATGGTGAAACTGCCGTGCTGGCCATTGACATTTCTGAGGGAGACTTGCAGTCCAAGGAAAGAGGAGTAGAAACAGATTCACACACATTCCTTTGCGCCTTTCTGTCAAGACTCTTCATCTGTTCATATCAGGTGAGATGATGAGATCCTCTCACAACAGCATACCTTGCGGTAGGGCCATCGATCGATGCCATGGCTGCGACACACTTTCTTCAGCGAAGTGAGACAAATCCCCAGCTGTTTCGCTACAACTTTCTCTGGAAGCCGGAAGTACTGAGAGAGTTCGTTGTAATCAATATTTCTCTGGAGAGGCATTGTTCTGGTTGGAACCGATAGCTCTCTGGATCAAATCAAGAAGTAGATGTGTAGCTATTCGATCGTTGAGTGTTTGGAGCTGCACTGAACCCTTTAAGATTGGCTTGGAAAATCTGGAACTAACCGGCCTGTACAACGTGCAAGGTCAGATCTTTGACGACAATTCATTTCACCCCTCAAAAAAAAACTGAATCAGTGTCTTCTCTCAGGAAAGCAAGGTCAGAAATATGAGAACAAACTTATTCAACCATGAAATCTTTGAATTGAGCTAGAGAACCAAAACCTATAGTGCTTCAACAACAACTATTTACAGACAGAATGCCTAGTTCTCAACATCATCTTGTAGAGCATCCTTCGTCAGAGATTTTCGCACATCGTATGTGTCCGCAAGTGCGTTGGGTGAATGAGAAAATTTTCCCGGCCTCTCTAACATCTCTAACAGATCATTTCAATGTGTTTCTCTCGCCCCTGCATGCCCTTTCCTCCGTTCACGATTTTCCGTCTGCCATCCTCTGTACTCGCTTGCTCCGATCCCCACCGTCGGCACCACCCCACTCCGACCGCATCTCACCACCACCTGTCCTAAGGACCACCCCTCTATATTCCTGAAGGTTGAAATACCCACCTCTGGCGCCTACCTATCTATGATTCAATGCTACCCGTAGTTGCGACCAATTTTCACCCCTGCCTTAGAAGCCAGTATTGTCCAACACCCGTTGATTCTACCACCCCACCCCCTCGATTCCAATTCCAGGCAATCCCGGTTCCGAGGGAGCGGTGCTCTTACCTTCTTCCTCCGTGGTAGGGGGTCCCCATAATAGGTGGTAGGGGGTCCCCATCATTTGAGTAAAACCCTCCCACCCCCACCCTACACAAAAAGTACCCAAAGTTTTGGGTACTACTGCTTCTCAACTTCCAGGCAAGCGTACGGACCATACCATCACTACATTCGTGAGTACCCTACCCTGTTCGGCTGATCAATCTCTCACAGACCTGCGGTCCTCCGAAGACTACCCTCCTCTCCTACGAACCAATGTACCCACCCCAGTAAGTCGTACCCTTCCGATCCGCAATGGTCAACACCTCCTACTCCCAACCGGACGCTTCCTTGGTATGCCTGGACCCACGTGCCAGGGGTAGGGTAGGCAGACACCTGACCATCCCAGGTTCCCTGCCGTAGTAAATACCTACCCTACCCTGGAAAAGTCCTTTCATTCCCTCTGACATGTACCCGTACAAGTTCGAGGCAGGACGGTCCCACCCCGTTGATATCTTTCTCTGAACAAATGACCCCCACCCCCCCTGTCATTTGTCTCGCTTCGATGCACCCCATTCCCAGTTAAAAATGTTAATATCATGACCCCACCATAGTCATCTCTGAGACATCAGACTACCCCTACTCAATAATCTTAGAGGAGCCGTGATTGAGTAAAAGCTGGTACTCCCAAGCTAAAATGAAGGTTTTTACTAGTCATGATTCATGTACCCGTCCTATGGTCGGCAGGTTTACACCACCCCTCAGATCCTACCCATAGGGAGGTGACCAGAGGAAAGGAGGGGTAGTACCTCTCAGATCGGACGACCCCTACCTCTCTTCTCCCAACGTCGTGCCAGCGCAAATTAAAACCTTTTATGTTATGGGTCGAGATGAGATGGGGTATATTGTTAAAAGCAATCGGAAGGGTATTGAAGGGTGGGTACTTGAAGTGAGGCAGGAACTCGGGGTGGGGATGGGGGTGGGGGGCGGGG